GTGAATACAACCATGGTTTTAATACCCAGGAATCGGGTCTTAATAATTAAAACCTTAAACCCGATTTGTCAGCCGAAAAAATCGGGTTTTTACCACCCCTGGAGTATTTCACTGTCAACGCTGGTTGGATTTATGTGGCATGGTTTTCCGAATGAATTCTTTAATATATTTTTTAGAGAGGATATTTTTATCGAATACGATTGACCGTGATGACGTGTCACCAACTCTGGAAATAGTGTGAGTATTCATACCTTGAATTTTCTATGGAAGTCGACCACTCACACTATTTCGAGATGGAAGCGCCAGCTCCGTCGATGCAGTGAATAATATTATCTTGGCATTTGTATGACATTGAATCGGAATATTTTGCTGTCGAGGTCCAAACGCACATTTTGCTTGAACCGCCACCAAACGCCATGATCAACCTGACGTTCCCGCAAGTGATCTTTGTGCCTCCGGTCCTCATCATCTTGGGCGCGGTGACCCTGCTGAACTTCAAGAATCTCTTCCTCGCCATCACCAACTGTACGTTCTTCTTCATGAAGGCGTTGATTGCACACCGAGAAATGATTGTAGATGCCAACAACCGGACCTCCAACGAACTCGTCAAGACGATCAAGCCAGGTACCGCCTGTCGCATGCAACGCAGTTGGACTGTCCATCCTTGACGTTGGTATGCATGTCTAGCTTTGGTGTATGTGAAGAACTTCCTCGAAGCAGTCGTCGGGAAAGCATCGTCGTTCTCGTTCAAGTTGGAGCACATTCTCCTTGTCGCGATCGTTTTCGCGTTGTTTGCCGTGGCCAACGAGATTTCGATCGGCAACGACTTGAAGGAAAAGGAACTCAAGCTCCTGCGCGCGCAAGCGAAGGCCAGCGACAAGAAGGACGCCGAGAGCAAGAAGAAGGACTAGCCACGTCCAAGTCTTCTTTCGTTAACATAGTCCACTCGACTTGACATCATCGATTTTAAGATCACGTTGGATCGAGCTGTCAGGACGCAGAAGTGCGTTTGGAGTACGGTGCCATGGCGTAGGAGAAGAATCGTCCGTCCATGGCGGTCATCTCCAACCGAAACCCACGTGGGTCAGCCCAACCAACACCAAGAGGGATCAACGGAGCCCCGACACGTCCCCATCGCGATCGCTCCATCCACGCCCTCTTCCTGTGGTCCATTCGTGGAGCTGCCGTATTGTCAAGACGTTGTTCATGAGCTCATTCATTCGAGCAAGGAATTCTGTGCATGTAGTTACCATGTTGTCGCATGATAGTCCAATGGACACGGCGATGAAAACTTGATATGAGGAATCGCCCATCAAACACGTTCTTCTGCATTCACACGGATATCAACGATAAAAACTACACGTCAGGGGCCATCACGATGACGAGCTTGTCCTCAACAGCCCGGCCGCCACGAGAGCCACGGCGACGATGATCAAACCAGCGACTACGGACCGCTCATGTCGTGTCGCATGGTGGGTTTCGCCAGTGCGCTTGCCTACCAAGCAAGCGAACGGACATCCCACGGACGCACTGGTTGCCTTGTTGTGCTTGGTTGTACTTGTTGGTGGCGCGGCATGCACTATGCCACGAAGTGCATCCAGATCCTGAAAGAGCGCCATGTTCAGACCAAACGCAACGTTCGCTTCGGTCACCATGCGCTTGGCTAGGTGAGGGCTCACCATGGCAGCGTCAAGGGCACTTCGGTAGCTATCTTTGAACGATTGGTACGATGACTCGATCATTTTGAAGTCGTAAAACGCCGTGCCGAGGCCATGAGCCAAGTCCATGGTGCGAATTGCGTGGCGTTTCAGAATCTGGCCGCCGCTCAAGTCGCCCAAGTATCGAGTGTACGCATGCGCGACTAAGAGCGCAGGCTCGGTCGTCCCGAGGTGGCGCAGACGGGCAACGTAGGCTTCGGTAGCCGGTGTTTTGGGGGGCATGACCTGTTTCCAGTTGGACCCGTAGTAGAACGAGAGGTCTTGGGCCAACGATGGCAAGCGTTCGAGTTCCACGGGGAAGTGCACCGATGTGACGACAGGGTCCTCGCTGGCTGCCGCGCACCGCAACTGCAATTCCAGTTCTTCGTATACATAGTATAGCATGGCAACCATGACGCGATAAACGTCCCGTGGGATTCGACCACGTAAAAGATCCGTGAGAAAGAGGACGGACTCAGCGGCGGCGTGGGCGGCCTGTGTCCCTTCTTTCAGGTCTTGCGCAAGGTGGCCACGTGCAGGCGGAGCCACGGCAACGAGCGGCGGCGGGGCAGTGGAGAGGCTGTGAGGCGGCATGTTGGAAAATGATTCCTTTCCTCGTCGGTCATGGAGCCATGGCGTACCCGAGCGCGTGGAATTCAAGTCAAGTCGTGGAGACAGCCAATCAGAAGTCTTAGAGCGATTTGATTGGCTACTGAAACGACATATTGAGCTCTGATTGGCCAGAGTCTGCCACCAGTATGACGATCGGGGCTCCAAAGATACGAAGGCATCGAGGTGCTGCCGGCCGTCCCCATGCAGAAACGCACGCCAGATCCATCGCCGCCAAACTCGCTTCCACGGCGGCATGAGCAGCTTGCCATGGACCACAGGAAAGCAGCAGCGCAACGTGTCATGGTCCCGCGTGACTCGAACACCATCATCCTGCTCAGAGTGGTTGGCTTTCCTTCATATCACGTAGCGGATGGTACGATCGGTCTCCAAACTAGCCATGGCGCGTTCCTCGAGCGTTGCAGCAGCTGCGGTCGCACGCTCGCCATGACATGGTTTGGCGCACGGATTTCGCTGGGGACTGAACGCTACAGTCCATGCGAACGAGTTGACTTTGTGTTGCACAGCTCAGACCGCCGTCTGTCGGCTCCATTTACATCGCAGACGAGCGCTGTCATGAGCAACGTGATGCTTCATCCCCCGGCCCACACGACTTGATGCACGTTGGGCTTGGCGTTTCAAAATGGAGCCAAACACAACATGTATTCCGGCGTGTGGTTGCCATGGCGCAGACGGACGCGGTTGTGCTCGGCGTGCCGAGTGAAGCCCCAATGGTCGACCGACTCTTGAACTGACGTGTTTTGTAGTAAGGTCGTCGGTCGAGGAAGACAATGGCAGCAGGCAGTTAGCCGGCGACTTAAGACCAAGAGGGGAAATCGACAAGTGAACGTCAGTGGGCCGCCGAGGATCGACCACATGAACCCGGTGGAGGAGCGGCGGTCCGGCCGTGTTGCCCAGCTTGCGTCACAGTACCCAGACAAGGTAAACTCCCCTGAACCAAAGCTAATCCCCCATGTTGACGTCCTCGCTAGGTAGCGTAGGACTCGTTTGGCGCCGAGGAAGTGCGGTGCGCGGGGGTCGTGGAGGTGGCAGGATAGTCGTTGGACAGCGTGAGCGATGTCCGGTCGGGTGCACACCATGAGGTATACGAGTGAATCGACCATGGCGCGGTGCTCCCCTTGGTCCACAGTTGGCTGTTGCTCATGGTTCCATAGGTCTTCCTGGTCGGCGACTTCAGGGGTGGTGACGGGATGGCAGTTGGCCATACCGAAGCGTTCGAAGACCTTCGTGGCGTATGCGTCTTGGCACATGGTAAGCAGTCTCTCTTGATTGTGGCGACTGATGCGGATTCCAAGCAGGTAGTTGACGGGACCTTGGCGTTTCAACTCGATCTTGGTCGCAAGCTCTTCCACGGCTGCGTCCACCTTGGCCTGGGTTGGGGCGGCGACTATGAAATCATCGACATACGTGCCGAGGATTTCAAGGTCATCGCCTTGGCCTCGGGTGAACACGCAAGGGTCGTGGGGGCATCGTTGCCAACCGAGGGCGGCGATTTGTGCCTTGCAGTGCTTCTCGAACTCGTGGCTGCTCTGGTTGAGTCCGTAGAGCGCCATGGTGACAAAGGCGGCCATGCC